GTATTTATTTATTATTGGATAGATTAACAAGAATTGCTATGCCAAAAGGTCAGTGTATGTTTAATTTTAATCATTACTGATGGATTATTTTACAAAAAGGTTGAGGTAATTCTATCACAAACAGTGAGAGAAAGGGTCCAGGTTCTGCATCCCTACAAACTCTGGATATTACTGTGCTTTTTAGGTTTTGTCACTATGTTTTTGTTCTTTAATTAATTTGCATTCCCTTGACTTTTTGTGACATATATTTAAAAATATTATTGACTGTTTATCCTCTTGTTTGAATTATTTAACCATATTTTATACTTTATATTGAGTTCTCTTTTTTATCATAAGTTATTAGAAGATCTTTCTTTATTAAAAGGAAATAATTTTTTTCTTTACTATATGTTACAGATGTATTTTCCCAATCTATCTTTTGGAGTTTAATTTTTTTTTGAGGGACCTTACATCTTGCAAAAAAATTATTTTCTAGCTAAATATAATTATCTTTTAAGGCTGCTGATTTTTTTTTTCTTTAGAAAGAGTTCCCAAACTTTAAATTATATAACATTCTTAATTTTCTTCTAAGCTTTCTATTTTTTAACATTACAATTGAATTTACTGGAATTTTAGTTATGAATTAATGATAGATCTAATTTTTCTTACACATGGATTGTTTATCAGACGAGTATCATTTTTAAGGCAAACTATCCTTTCCCAATGAAATAAAATGTTATTTCTACAGTAAGTCAAGTTCCCATGTAACTGTATCTGTATCTAAACTCTCTAGTCTGTTCCAATGACAATTTGCCTATTTTTATGCCAATACTATACATACTGTTAGGATTCAGTAGCTTTAGAGTAAGTGTAACTACTAAGGAAGGTGTGTTAGCTCACTATTCTTTTCTTTCACAATTTTCTGGAATATTTTAATAATTTAAATTCCATTCATCCAGTCTGAAAACAAAACAAAAACACTGGCATTCTGATTTGAATGACGTTAGGTCTTTGTGTGAACTTTGGAAGGATTGACTTGTAATGGAAATTAGTCCTTCCATTGAGGAAGACAGCACATTCTCTCCATTTGTTGCAGTGTAAAGAAGCTGAGAACAGCATCGGTTCTGGGAACCATACTGCGTGAGTGTCAATCCCAACTTTTACCCCTTATGTAATCTTAGGTAGGTCACTTAATCTGTCAATTGTTTTCCTGCCTGTGAAGTGGGGTAACAATAGCATCTATCCGAAAGGCTTGTAGTAAGGATTAAATGAGAGGGGTTCCTGGAATTCACTATGATCTCAATAATTATGATTTTATTTCCTTCCATAAAATTTAAAAAATTCTTATGGTTTTATTTAAGCAGACATCAAAGACCAGTCCATCTCCAAAATCAGGTGAGAATGATGATTCAGACTCAACTCCTTTTATTTGGCTTATTATCAAAACTGTAATGAGCAAAGTTAAGAGCACATAGTAAAGCTTATATACGGACACAGTCTGGATGACACCTTTGTTTCTTGTGGCACAGACGCCAAGGCTGGTGGTTTCAGCGGGCTGAGCTGAGTGGGGACCCTCCAGGTGGGGAGCTGAGAACTGCTGGCCCACCCACTTTGATTCTGCTTTGGCTGTGAGAAGGCAGGGATGTGGATGGGCCATCAGAGTTCACAGCCTTATATTACCACCATAAAAGAATTTGGGGAGGGGGGTGCTGTATTAGTTATACAACTTAGTCATTTCTACATTTTGCTTTTTGTTCGTGCTTGATTATACAAGATTTCAGTGTAGCAATCTTGCAAACTGACTTTATCCTCACCAGTTTTTCCTTGAATTTTTTTTTAGAAATGACTGCTGACCCAAGAATGGACTAACAGTTACCAAAGGGAAAGGGACTGGGGAGGACGGGTGGGAAAAAAGAAAGGGAGCATTACGATTAACATGTATAGTGTGGTGGGGGCACGGGGAGGGCTGTGCAACACAGAGAAGACAAGTAGTGATTTTACAGCATCATACTATGTTGATGGACAATGACTGTGAACAGGTATGTGGGGGGGACTTGGTGAAGTGGGGAGCCTAGTAAACATAATGTCCTTCATGTAATTGTAGATTAATGATACCAAAATAAAACTAATAAAAAAAAAAAGAAAAAAGAAATGGCTGCTGAATCTTACAAGTCCTTTTTCTCCAGCTATTTATAAAATATATATGGGCTTCCTCCTTTAATTAGTTAACTTAAGAAGAATGTTGATAGAGTTCCTGATGTTGAACTATCCTTAAATATTTGGAATCAAACCATATTTGACCTAGTATATACCATTCGTTTAATATACTCCTTAATTCAATTTGCTAATATTTTATTTAGAAGTTTTGGGTCTATATTCATAGATGAAATCAGTCTACAGTGTTACTGATATATTTGTTCAGGTTTTGGTAGAGCATTTTTACCAATGTTACAAAATGAAATGAATTTTCATTAAGTGATTACACCCCAAATAAAAATGCATGGCTTTCACATTTCAGATAATACAACCTCTCTGGCATTTTATATTATTTATTTTCCTTATAATCAAATAAGATGTTAAGACTATGATTATGATATGCAGCTATACTCCCCAATTTTCCCTTCTTAATGCTCAGATCTCTGCCAAGTCACATCACATCCTTTTCCACTTACTGATACGTTAGTTCGGATTATTTTCCAATTGGCTAAAGCAGCTTCTCTTGGTTTCTCTGTCCGATAGCGACTTCTTTCAGGTGGCATGGACAGTAACAATGCATGGTGCAAAGTGGGAGAACCAGGGAAATTCCTTCATTATCCCCCATCCTACCAGCTGGTGTTCCGTATTCCTCTTAGCCTGATTTGTTTTTTTCTCCCATCTCCTTGCCACTTCTAGGCATATTATGTATTTGTTTATGTAGATCTGTCTAAAATGTAAGCTCTGTGAGGGTAGGGATTTTTGTTTTGGTTTCTACTATATCCTTGGTGCTTAAAAGAGGTACTCATAAAGAGGTACTGATGCTCAGTCAATGTTAGCAGGATGGAAGTTATTGTTGTTATTGACAATTTCCTTCATCCTATGGAACGACTGTGGTAAAAACTGAATGCATTTCTAAACCAATGCATTAATGACTGTCTTTCTGTTTTTCCTCACAAATATTTTATCTATTTGCAATTTTAACTTTTAAATCTTATATTTTATAAGGAAAAACTATGTTTTGCTATCACATACCTCCGTTTACCAGATAAGTTACATCACTAGCTCATGCACTTCGGCAGTGTTAAGATCTTTTTGAACATAATGGGAGCTGGTAATATTGAAGCACCAGTATATTGTTTTAATATTAAATACATATCATCCAACAATAGATTCAGTTGAATATTCCTGTTTATGCTCATCGATAACTTTTGATTTTCTAGTTAAAATAAAATAAATGTGAATTTTTTATAAAAGTTGGCTAGTTATAAATAAAGTTTTCCAGTTATAAATAAAATAAGAGCGTGAATTTAAAAAAAAAGTACCCATATCTTTTAGCACCTTCTTAGAAACTTTTAGATTCCTGACCTGGAGAGTGTTTGGGAAATTCACCTCCTGGGCCGACCTAAACTTTACTCTAGCAAGCTGACAAGCCACGTCTATTATTTTATTCCTGGATGAGGTTAGAATATTAAAAGAGGGGGAAAAAATGCCTAGCAACTTGTATGGATAATTTTGATCATCACTTACGCCTGCCAAATCAAGTAGAATTATGCATTGAGCCATTATTCTTCTGAAATATCTGCTCTTCTTCAGATCTACCTCATTATAAAATTTTTGTCAGAAAGTATCCAGAAAAATATCCATTTTATAGCTTTGCTTCTGTGAAGGGACTGTGTTTATGTCACATCATATTGATTGGTAGTGCTACTGAAGACTTACAAAATTCCCTCAGAATTAAAATGAAAAGCCATTTCTGGAATGATGAATAAATCTAGGTTTGTTTGGGGTTTTCCTTTTGTTTGTGTTTGCTTAAAATGAAGAGCAGTTCATATAATAAACATTTTACATCAGGTCCTTCAGATTAATTTCCTTTGAGTGTTTTATCAACAGAATTCTATACAGTTCTGATATTTTTATCAAAGTGGTGTATTGCTTTGGCCAGTCTCATATTGAAACTAATGAAGACTTTTAAAAATAGCTTTAGTTTGCAGGTTAAGTTAAATTTCTTCAACAATCTGCACTATTTAGGATCACCTCGTATTTGCTTTTGGTGGGTGGGGGTGGGAGAGAAAACACACAACGTAGATCCAAGTAATAATTTCAGCAGATGAACTTTGCTGTTATGCAAATGTCCTTTGTTTTGTGCTCTAGTGAGCAAGCTACTGTACCAATGCTTTTGGCAGTAGTACAAGACTGAATCCATGGAAGCATGTGTGTATTTACACAAAAGAGGCTTCTAAGCTACAAAACTCCCTCCTGTTTGGTTACACTAATTTCCCCTGAATGAAGTTTGTATGCAAGCCAAAACAATGGTAGTTATCTTGTCCTCTGGAGTTCATTCCCGTTAGAATGAGGTGAATAATTGAACCCTTTCTAGACAGCCCAGTCATATGCTATTTTTTAATTCTTTCCCCATCATTTTGATTCTGTGATCATTAAAAAAAATCAGAATATTGGTAATTGGAACTTTTGTTAGTATGCGAATCCATCCCTCCATATTTTCCCATCTCTCCTCCTTTTCTGATCTATTTAAATCTGATGTGGTGGTTAAGCTAAGCATCCCATTGTGGCATTCAAAGTATTTCAGGTGTGTGAGGCAAATGGAAGCATCTCAACAATATAATTAAGGGGATACAGGGAGAAATGAAAAACTGACACTGAATTTGAGATAGTTTGGGCCAAAGGCCAAAACCCAGTTCCTATAGTGAATGCCCACACAAAGAATGTGTGCCTTTTGTCAGCAGATGTCTCTGTTCAACACAGAGTCAAGTCAATCCAGGGTAAATGCCTCCATCTGCAAAGGAGAGGAACCCTCAGATCCTTACCTTGGCTTCACGGGGTCCTAGCATATGCACCATGGGCGGCTGTACCCCCACAGGTCGTGAGGGTCTTGTGGTCACTTGTCCCCAAGCACTGCTGTTTGTACCTCCGTTAACAGTGCTCACCAGTACCCGATATTCATACTTTGTCCACGGGCTGAGAGCAGAAGTCTTGTCAATAAACCGCATGGAATGACTTCTTGGGAGAGCTGCCAGGGTAGTCACTTCTTTCTTCCCTTGGGCTCTTCTCTCAATTGTGAAGTTCTCCACCAAGCCATTGGGATGAGTGGGAGGTTGCCAAGATATAATCACAGATGTTGGGGTATCTGAGAACAACTCTGGACTTGGGATGCCTTCTGGTGCATCTGGGAGCGTCCACACAGTCTGGGACTCTGGTGAGAGGGAACACCCTTTCGAAGTACAGGCCTCTACCTGAAACGTATAGTCCGTATAGGGTTGTAAACGGTTCACAGTGCAGTTAGTGATGTTTCCAGAAGTTTTCAGGGAGAGATGGCCATGTTGGTAAATGTTGTAATGGGTAATGACCCCATTGCTCCTTAAAGGATGCTGCCAGGTGACCAGCATCATTCTTGACTTCACGTCCAGAAGAATTGGAGGGTCCACCGGTCCAGGTTCTATGAGGTAGAATAAATACAATAAGCAACATTTCTTAGAAACTTCCCACATCTCCTCAAAATGAAGCTAAGTGAGTGATAACTCTTCCACAAGGGTATGAAATTGGACACTTAGTAAAAGCCAATAAGTAAATAAATAAGTGTCATAAAGATAAGGACCATGACTGCCTTGCTTATAAATGTGCAAAAAGTACTTGTTGAATATTATCGAACCTAATTGTCATTTTCCTTTCTGAGAAAGCTTTATCAAAATCATTTCTTTTTATTAAAGCTAATGATTAAAAATATCATGAGGCATTTTCTGAAATAAAGATATTAAAAGAGAAACAAACAAGAGCACAATTGCAACCAAAGGTCTAGTTTCTGCTCTAGTTTCTAGAGCCCCAGTAGCTAATTATAATCAATAACACTATCATAACAAACCTGTGCATTTTACAGCCCAGTAAAATCCTTCAGCATCTCTCATTATATATTCCATATAACACCTAGTTCTGTTTATCATTCTAATCCATGTTTTGCAATTTATCTACTCCCTGTTAATATTATAGGTGATTTTTTACTGTGACTGTGACAGAAGCTGCCGATTTAGCTCTTTCACCTACTGATAAATAAACAATGCACAGATCTGACCTTTAGGTTAACAGGTTTTATGCTTGCCCCACTCAGCACTCTAACTGATTCAATTATCATAAAGGTTCAGGAGGCTCCATGAATACTGAAAAAGGCCCACCATATGCCTGCATAGGTGTTGTGGAACAGCAAATATTCTGCAGCCCTCCAGAGAAATTCCTTAATTGTAAATAATTTCACCATGCGACACAATCAAGTCACCTTGAATGCAAACCCCGCAGCCTGCAGAGGTAAAGTGTTATTTAAGCTTTACTGGGCTGTGTTAAATTCTGCAATTTGAAGGGCTGTTAAGTTTTTCAATTGAAATTTCATTTAAAATGCAGGTGCTTTTTATTATATGGAGGCTTTACTGCTCTCTAGGTACAAGCAAGAACATGGTGCGATAACACAAATCTGGCTCAATCACTGATCAGTAACAGCTGTAATTCCAGAACATTTAGCATTCTTATAAACCACAGCCTGAAATCTATAAATTGCTACAACAGATCAAGAAAATACTATATTCCCTTTTTCCGCCCACAGCAATTTTGACATTTATGAGATTTTTCTGTGAACATTAGATTTTATTGAAAAATCTTTAAAGAAAGATATACTTGGATTTAGTAATTGTTTAAAACAGCATTGATTATGTGAGTGTGTGTATGTGATTCAGTGTTACACCCAAGGTTTGAACTGTTAAGTGCAACCACTGCTTGGCAAAGCCAGTGACTGCTGAAACAGCCAGCTGTACGAGCACCCTTCCACACAACACGATCCATGTGCTTGTCACCAACTGGGCTGATGGTAGAATCATAATTACTTTTTGAGAGGAAAGATGTTACAGTGGGCTAACCCTGAAATCAAGACATTTCTGACAATCTGGTAATGCATCTTATTTGAAGAGAAATATCCTGAAAGTACAGTGATTTTGAAATGGATTACATTTTCCATTTTAGTCTGTTGTTAGCTTTCCTTTTGAAGCTTTCTGAACACCACTGTGACACTTCTTACTTTTGCTCTCTGGTACACAGTAGCAGTAGCAATTATTATATCAAAATAGGGATACAGATCCTGTCTTGTTTATACATGTCATCCAGATTCGGCTATTTCCCGAAGAAAAGCAAATGCGAGTCTTGTAAGATTTCACCGTTGTTTTGGAAAACCGAAACCTCTGAGATTGGGGTCCATCAAATCAATGGTGGAGATTCAAGCCTTTCATGTCTCACCTATCTCCCCCTCCCCCTCTAAAAAAGGAATACTATTATGTTTAGAAACCAGAATATTTTCTATTAGGGTTTTCACCAGGGTCTTGCACAATCTCACATGGGCACTGCAAGCTTCTTCAGCATAAAGGAACAACAATGATGCAGTTTGTTCTCTGTGATGATGGGGATAAGCCTTTTATTTCTCCTGAATAAGATATCAGTGGTATTATGGGTGAAACATCCATGATAATGAGATGAACTTGCACTTCAAGTCCCCACAGAACACAGGCTTCCCTTAAAGATGATCTCTTATCTTGGGAAAGAAGAGATGTTCAATTTCAATTTCATGATTTTTTTCTTGCCCCTTAAAAGCCAGCATACATTTTATTAGCTTCCTGCTCTAGCTGAGACGGCTCCCTGCTCTTGTAGCAGGAAGGGTCCTTAAACTTGTGTGATTCAGGAGAGGGAGCTGCAAGCAGCTTAATTAGCTCCTTTGGCTAGGGAAGTGTTAACACCTGAATCCTGGCATGCTTTCAATTTAGTGCTTTAAAATGATAAGCCGAATCATCTAATTCTATATACAAATCAACTGGCAGGCTACTGCATGGTTGAAAGGGTCACTACAATTATGTAAAACATGAGTAATAACTATAATTGGGGTAGTTTGCTAATACAATAAAAAGCTCCGAACATGAGAAAAGTTACGCTCGCAGCAGTAGCTATCACTTTCTAAAGTAAGAATTCATGGATGAAATGACATGAAAAAGATGGTTATAAAATTTTAATGGAATGATAAAAGGCAAAAGTCAGCCTCTCAGCTGAATTCTTAAAATCCCTATATATCACAATCAGCTCCTTAACTGTAAAATCAATGTGGAGTATAACATGTTGTCAATGCGGCTGTCACTGGAGGGGAGACTGGGAAGTATGACAACCACACAGCTCAACTGGCCAGTGATGAAAATACAACCGTACAGCCCTCTCCGCGGGTGTAATTGTTTAGAGAACTCCCTCCCGGAGCTGGGAACAGGAGCATCCTTACTGTTCAGATCACTGATTCATATTTCAGGCCATTTCATTACAGCATTAATAATGGAAAGTAGTTGCGCTTTGGCAAGTGAAATTATCTTTTATGGGAAACTGTTTTGCTCATCAGCTTCAAAAGTTCAGCCCCTGCCTAAAACAGAGTAATAAAATCACTAACGGAGGGGTCTGCTTATTTTTATGCTCGGGTGTGTGTTTTGGGAAGGGGACCTGCACACACGCATGCACATGTGTATGTGTATGAATAGCAGTTTGAATGACTCACACCTTCAGTGTGTATGTAACTTTCAGTGGTTGTTATAGATCTCTTCGCTTGTTTGCTATTACAGATACCCACGAGTGCTCAGTTTTCCTGCTACGGCCCCTTTATTTCCCTGAAGCTACTTTTTACCATTCTAATTAAAAACTCAGTCAGTTTAAAAGCTCTTTTCAGTAATATTAACTCCACGAATAGATATGCCCCAATTTTGCCAATGAATCAAAAATCAAAGTGGCAAATATATGGGTATGTAATTATTAAGAGTGATATATTATATACTAATTGTTAATGTAGCCTTTTGATATTCACTACTGGTATGTTAACACAGTCAAGTGATGGATTCTGTCTTCTCTCTAATCATGAATTCTTTTATCAATTTATTATTTATATCCCAACTACTTTCCCAAAGGATTTTTGACAGCTCATAATCAAACATTTCAATGAAATCAAGAAATTCTAATCTTGTGGTGATGAAGAGGGTACAATAATTGTATTCCAAAACAAATACTAAGAATGGGAACTTCAGTTTTGCACAAAAATGAACACTCAGTTTCTTGACAGCTGGTAGAATAGGAAATGGGTTGTGTAATAGGGGCATCATTATTTATTTAAAGGAACATCTGAAGACTAGAAGAGCATTGAAATTTAAAGGATACTATGTGACAGTCTACAGGTTGGAGAATCAATATTGGGGAACTATTTTTCTCCATTTCTCCTGAGATAAATACAGAATAGTCTAGGAAGAAAGCTTTGCCATCTAGAAGTGGGGCATACTGTATAGTGAATGAATGGTTATAGATTCTTCCTTGAAAGTTTGGGATAGAAAATTAAATGTGTTGATGTGAGAATTTATGAATGCAAAAAAAAGAAAATCCTAAAAGAACTAAAGGTTCCAAACTGGAAGCACAGTGTGCCTCATGTGCCCCCAAACAACTCAAGAGATCAAGGGAAATTGAGTCTAGATGGAGAGAACATTTCTTGAACTGATCTGTCCTTTCACAGGATTTTCTGTTGGTCACTTTTAGCTTTTAATCTTAGGATATAAAAGCAAGAATTTCAAATTCATAATAAATATTTGCTTTTATTAATTCTGGAAATGCAAGAATTTGGGGGGTGGAATTTCTGTAAAAGGAAACAAACTATGGACTGACATACATACATACAGAGCCATGTTGCTCTCAAAAATCAGTAGATTAAATAATTTGCTTTTAATCATGGATTTTCTGTTATAATAAAATAGATACCCACATTACTGTGTGAAAGGATAAACATGTCAACGTTCAAAAGTTAATATTTAATGCAATTAGGCAATGTATTTGGAATGTAGAAAACAAAATAATTATGCAGCACTACCGAAACTTGTAGCTTATACCTCTTCATTAAATAAAATAAAATCTACTGATATAAACATGCTCCACCCTCATTTAAAAAATGTCCCTATTTTTCACTTGCAAAGAACACTCTTAAGATGCAGGTTGAGACTTTAAATTCTAAAATTTACTAATAGAAAGATGTCTGCTATGCAATATTAGTTTTAAACTTTAAATACTCTGAAGGGTACATATATACTTATTAAATGATTTAAACTCCATCTCCAGATTTATCTTGATGAATTAATCTATTATCATACCACATTTTCACTTCCCCTCCTTGTCACAAGGACTGAGAGTTTTGCTCTCATTGCAGGGTGCAAGAATAAGACTGAGGAAAAGTGTTTTCTTTTGAAATTTACTTTCTATACATGCCTCCCCCCTTAATATAATAGCACATAATTTGGGGCTCACTAATTAGAACATTCTTGACCCTAGTCCAGACAGCCAAGGTTGAATCACAGGAACAGCAGGCAAGCTGCCTCTGGCCACGGCAAAGAATGAAGATTGCTT